AGCATTTCAGAGCTGTCCTACTTTTTGTTCCTACCTCTATTATGGCATTTACTGTGCCATATTGCATCTTCATGTTTAAAGTAGATGACTAGTCTGGTCTTTCAATAGACAATATGCTTCTCATTAACAGGGAGTATATATTGTTTTTCTTTATAACTCAAGTTCTAAGTACTTACCCTAATATTTAATAAGCACTCAATAAATACTAGATGAATAAATATTAAATATTTATTAAAAAATTAGTTTGGTTCCTCTCCTGTATAGTCTAATTCGTGGTTAAAATGATAAAAAGAAATAAAATCCCCAAAGCACTTATATCTTGCACTTATATCTTGCTTCTTCTTTGGTGTTATTATGATATGTAGTGTAACCATTATAATCTATAACATAATATTTTTAATAGCACAAAAGGAAAAGCAAGATATAAGTGCATTTCATATTACAGAACAATAGATTTCAGTAAGAATGGAAAGATCTCATTCTTTGTAAAACTCTCTATGTTTAGTAAAAAAACTCAAAAGTATATTCTCCAAAATATTAATAGTAATTAATCCTGAATAGAGGAATTATGAATAATTGAATTTTCTTCTCTTATCTTGCTTTACTTTCTAAATTATATAATGACATGTATAATTTTACAAAAAGAAAATTAAAATGGAAGGTTTTTTCCTAAAAAATATTGCTTACATATTTCTTGCAAGTATCAAATCCACTGTGTACAGAATTCTGTGTAATACCAGCTTGTTCCCTTCACCACACTCCCCTGTATTCCTGGTTGTACTATTAATCTGCCACATGACATGAATGTTCAGAAGAGGCACAAACCCAGTCTACATACTGTAATAAATTCCAAGGCCATGGGGTTAACAAGTGTATCAGTTATTTATGAACAAAGTTTAGTCTTCATAATTCTCAAATTCAGGAAAATCCCAATTTGTCCATCTCCACATCTGGTCTTGGAGAATCTGGATAAGGTCTAAGCAGGTTTAATGGCTATTATAGTTACTGTACCTCCTGAAATGTAGGCGGGTGAACAAAAATTTATAGAATAATTCAAGAGTTTATAATTAGACTTCAGGTTGCCATCACGCGAACCTGAATGGTGGGTTGTGGTTGACTCATTTTGGACAACTTGTCATCATCATGTTCCTGAACTAGACAATACGGATGTGCTATAAATCTGTTAAATGTCCAGCCTGGGCAGTGGCACACTGACGCAGAGTTACAGCAAGCAGGTTTGGATGATAAAACATTGACGCATGCTGCAGTGAGTGAGGGTCCCTGATGAGAGGAACCCAAGCAGAGACTGAGTGATTTATCCCAGGTATGCTTTTAGACATTGAGTTCATGCATTAGGTTCTACAACTGGATGATTTTATGAAAATTTCCCTAAAGTAAAGTCAATCCATTTTCATTTGACATAAAGGTTTGAAAATTTATATTTTAGAGACTCTAATATTTGCAACTTGATTTCACAATTTTTTGTCATTGCAAATGAAGATTAACAAAAGGAATTTTTCTTGAAAATTTCAACAGATTAAAAATTAATTGTCTAGTCCTCTTTTTTCCTTTAAAATGTAATTAAAGATGCACCTTTAAAGGAAATGTAACTAAGCACTAAGGTATTTGAAATTTTACAGAATTTACACACCTTTTAAGGGAAGTCATGTTTACCTGATAAAAACCAATTTGTAGTAGTAACATGTATAACTTAAAAGGGTCTAGGAGATATTTCAAAAGATAGTCCTTATATAAGCTTCAATGAAAATTCAATTATCAAAGATTTCAACAATCACTTCAGTCAAAGAAGTTAAAAGAGGGACTCTGGGTAGGCCATATTTGTGATCAAGTAATCATTTATTTTGTCCAGAAATCCCTTAAGGATATGCATTTCTTGCCTGCCTGCCCCCTCCAAGTTTCTATTGATAAAAAATAAGGTACATTTTAAGTGTTAGGGAAAAAACTCCACCAAGTCTTGATATATAATGCTGACTCCATTTCTATTTATTCTCAGATACATACTAAGTTACATACTAAGTTAATATTGATCTTTTTTCAAAGGTCATCTCTATGGAAAAAGAAACATAATGAATTCAGTACCTTCATGTATATGCCTTGGACACAGCTGAGCTGTCTGCATTTTATAATCAACATGTGGCCACAAGAATTTTTTTTTTTTGATGCTAAGTATAAAAGGTCATTGTAGACATCAACAAGAGCGAGAAGAGAATTCCAAAGAGGTGCAGCTTACCCAGCACTCAGACTCAAGTTAAATACCACAATTGTGCCAGTCATTAGTTACAACTCAATCTCTGTCCGGAAACCAGTCTGCCAGAAGCCGAAATGGCTGGAAAAGCAGCCATATTTTATCATTCAACTGATCCCAAGAGTCCAATTTAAAGGAAGATTATATGTGTTCTATATTAGGGAGGAGAAATATCCCTAATTTTACAAAAGTCTTTTTTTTAGATAACAATGAACATGTTTTTAAATTGAGTAATTTTTTAAAAATTACAAACATTAAATGTTAACAGGACACATGAACTTAATTCACTAACTTCAACATAAATGAGTTATTTCTTTTGTAACTTTGTAGACAATGTTTCTTCAGAAAAATTATGAACTCCATTTTTAGTATAATTAGCTATTATACATTTTAAAAATTCTATTGAAACTCTCTCTTAAAAATGCTAAAGTTCCCCCTGGTGAGCACAGTGTGTGGTGCTCCAGTGAGATGGAGCACTGGAGGCCCTGACTGCACTAAAATGCAGTATACCAATGGAGCGAAATTACATTTGCACACCGTGGATACATACAAATAAAAAACTTAAAAAAATAAAAAAAAATTTAAAAATGCTAAAGTTCATGGTTACCATCCAAGAATGAAAATTGCTAACTCTTTCTTTAGAAGAAATGAAGCTTTAGAACTTTCCTCTGAAGGGTAGTAATTAATAAGGCTTTTAAGAAACAAACCAACATTTTAAAGAATATCCCTAAGGGTAATTCATTAACTAATTAGTTTTGTAATTTCTTCTAAAAACATGCTACTATACATGTAAAATGTATGTAAGTCTTTATTGGATTCCCATAAATTTAGTCAGGACTAACAAATCTAATGAATGAATACCTGTTGAAGAATAATGATGCAATGCTTAGAGCCTCTGAGTTGAAGCTACCCACCCAGTTGCTTTGCCAACTGGGAAAAGAACTTGTAATCTGCTTCAGGATGGAAGAGCTGCACAGTATGCATGACTTTCAGAAAAACGAAGATCATCTCTACCAATTATGATTAAGTTTGAAATTTTAAATTTAACTATTCTCCATTCTGGGGTGTTTAAATAAAGTTAACATCATCTAGGAAATGTGTGTTTTTCTATTCTGAACAACTTATCTTTTTATGCTAATATTTCATAATTAATTTTTCTTCCCCCAAAAAAGGCATCTGGAAAAGCCATTTACATTCATCCTAAGTGTAACTGTAAACTGTCATCTGTGAAATATTCTTCAGTTCTAAGAAATCTCTGTTATGTGAGGAATGATATAAACATTTTAATGTGTATATAAATACACATATATGTTTTAAAAAGTGTCACATCTTAGTTCTCACCACATAATTCACTTCACCATATAATTTCTCAGTTTCCTCTCAAGACTTAACCTGAATACCAAGATAAAATTTTTGTCAGAGTAATCAGTATAATTTTTACAATATAAGGTTTCCTCACAATTCAAAACCTCTATACATATATAAACCATCACCCCTACTCATCTGTAATTTCATGGTGATAACTTCATATACTATACTCTAGTTTCACAATAAAGAAAGTGCTATAAAACTTTAGAGCTATAACAAGCCCTGCGAAAATAAATTGAGGACATACATAACAATGAATGATTAAATAATATTACTTTTAGTTTAAGCTGATTTTTACTCTTATGGTTCAGTGCTAAATAGTTATTTATCACATCTTATAAAGTCTAACTTCTTTGGCATACCATAGCAATCATTTGCCATCAGGATATTATTATTGGGTCTCTTAGTGCATCAACACCGGAGATTTTCAGCAGTCTGTAAGTCATGAGTTTAACTGCTACTCAAATCATGGTAAATTGGTTTCATATTGGCTTGACCATTTACACGGATAAAGTGGACAATTCTGGATGCTACCCAGTGTCCATCCCCCTCCTTTCCTCTGGCCCAGTGAAAGCTCTACTAGGTTCACGTGACTCTGGGGAAGTTTAAATCATCTCCTGCTGCAAGGATAAGTCCTGAAAAGTCTACATCAAACATATCAACCCCCCTTACCATGAGTTATTTAAAACACTCAAGCTTAAGCTAGTTAGCATATAAAATATCTCTGGAGGCCATTATTGACCCAGGGTTAGAGGAGACATTTTCTCCGTCTAGAGATGATCAAGAAGCATGCTGCCTCAGGGACTGCGGACAGCCATTTTACAACCACAAAGAACTCCAGGGTAGGGCAAAAACTGAAACACGAAGGAGAGCAGAGCCAAGAAACATAGCACAACAGAGTAAAGCCTTAATCACACCCTACCTGAAGCCCACTAGCTCTGGATTTTTTGTTATTAAATATATTTCCTTATTGCTTAGAAAAAATATATGTCATATTTTGTGAGTTTTGAAGCAAAGGACATCCTGACACTATTTCTTTTTCTAACAGAAACAGTACTCCCAATAGTGACTTCCAATTTGAATTAATAAGCACATCATTCAAATTAGCCATCAGTCTCTCATTCAGTATCTCCCTAGAGCCATAGCTCCAGAGTTGGCCTCCCAAACTGAGACCACTCTGGTGGGAAAAACTGAGATGCATCTGCTGCTATGTCTCAAAACCCTACCATTCAATTTATGGACATAATCAAAAAAGAGTAAAATATTATTTCATTAGAATAATTTTCATTAAATAAAAAATTACACATTTTTTCAATAAAATGGGCTTCTTTAAAGTGAGGCTCTCATTTCTTGTTTCTTTTCTTACCTCTTTCACACTGTGGACCAGTAAATCCATAAACACAAGCACAGCGGTTGGGTCCAATGCAACGTCCACCATTCTGACACCCATTTTCACAGACAGCTGCACACAAAGACAGCAAGAAGCTCATTATACAGGACATCTCCAAATAGCATACAGTAGTGCAGTGATGCTGCCCAAAGATCTTCCATTAAATCACATCTCTAAGATACAAGTTATACTTCAGATCATAAATTTAAGTTAATATGCTTAGGTGTACATTGAGACAAAAGTGTACACAGTTCAGTAATTGTTAAGAAAGCATTTGGTAAAAGGTTTTTGTTTTAAATCAGAATCACAAGGATTGGCTGGCTTTGATGCTCAGATAGTCAGAATATAATTGTTCAATCCTTTATTTTATTTCTATTAACCCTATAACCTATCTCTTTGTAGGTAAGGAAGTGAATAAATATGGGCAAATGAAGGAAAAAGGAGGCTGACTTTAGGTAACAGGGAGAGGGAGCAGGAGGGGAAAATGTGATACAGAAAAATAAAGAAGATATGGCAAGAAAGGGAAAAGCAAGAAACTCAGAGAAGAAAAGGAAGCCAGAAAAAAAAAGTGACAAGTGGGGGGAAAATACCATCAACTTTAGCGTAAAATGCCAAGAGAAGTAACCAATGTTTGCAGACCACGTGCAGGTCATAAAAGAGAAGGGAAACTGTGTCAACACAGTAAGCTCTTTCATATGAAATTAGCCCACAGTTTAAATTGCTTCAAAATAATGACAAACACACAGCACGCATTCTCTTCGTTCCTTTATACCTGTGACCTGGGAGACCGTGGTTTGGGGTTTGGAGGGCCCACAGGGAGCCAGTAGGCCAGAACCCAGCCTGAGCTGCTCCCTGCTGCACTGCCACACACTGTGACCCAGGCCTCAGAGAGCCCTCGCTAGAATCCTGGAAACTTAAGTGTCCCTCCATCCATCACGAGGGCAGCCGAACTCAAGAACCTTGTCTTCTCTAAGAGAAGATGCTGAGAGTTTGTCTCCCAACCCACCCAACCTGGTCAAAGACTCTGTCCTTATCAACAAAAAGGATTATATCCTAAAACTTGTTTCCCAGAAACAGAGCTGAAGGACATTAATTATTTCAAATTAGAGGAAATTGAGGGGGAAAAACACATTTATGTGCATTTTGAGTGTGGCACATATCAAAACTGGGAAGGTCAATAAGTATATGGAAATCTAAAAGTGCAATAATGCTGCTACTTCCTTCCCAGGAATATTAAACTGGTTTACCTACCATCGTCCAGAATGCACGGAGTGATGTCTGTTCTGCCGATGGTAGTAAGACTAAAATGCACTTGGAAACAAAAGATAGCTTTGTCCTAAAGCACCAATGTGCAGTGGCCTTACAACTAGTCTGACATGTATGCGTCAGTAGAAGGCATGGTTCTGTGCGCCGTGGCGCCAGCACATCTCCCTGTGGACTGCACCTTTCTGCATCTTCACCTGTCCCCAGTTCAGTTCCAACTCATGGCCTTGAAAGTAAGGGGTGGGCAGTAAATTATGTGAGTAAATATACAACATAAAGGAAAGGGATAAAGACAAGAGGAGAATGAGAAAGATGCAAGTGGACAGGAAGACGGAAGAAAACAAAACACATCAGAGAACTTGTTCTAAGCAGTGTGTAATTCTGCAGCAACGACTATCAGGACTTGAAGATTTCAACTGTTAAAAAGCTATACTGCAAAAGGGCAACCCTAGTCTAATGTGATTAATTAACACGTGAGAAATTTTCTTTAAGTGGTGTCAAGGTGTAGGAAATTTAAATGAAAGCCACTTGCCCAGATGTGTTCTCTCATCACTACACGAGTTTAAAAAGGCATGGGTGGGGAAAGCAGTCTGCCTCTGCCACTGACTGCGGCCCTCGGCATCCACCCTTGGCTAAGGCCGAGAAGGGCTTTTTCTCTGTTTTCCAAAACAGAGTCTGCAAACGCCAGGTAGGAGAATAGAGCTGAATAAACCCCGGCTCCTCTGGGAAAGGACTGATCTATGACCAGGTTAAACCTACTCTAACCCATCCGGGCCGGACAGACAATGCCTCCCTTCTCACTCAATTTTTTAGAGGTTTGGAAAATATGGCTATTTTTCATCAAAATATTTACATTAACATGTAACAGGAGTTTACTGCTATCTTTAAATGAATAAATAAATAAATGTTTTTTTAAAATGTCAGTTTTAATATCTAATATTATAAATATCAATAGAATCCATGCAGATGAAAGATCTTTGAGTCCTTCAATAACTTTAAAAAATGTAAAGGGATTCCATAAACAAAAGGCTGGGACCGACCGATCCGTCACCGGCTCGCATCCCTACGGGCCATGCGGGAGCGGCTCTCCAGGACAAGGGCCGGCTGCCCGAGCCCCACCCGCTGCAGCGTTCCCCTCACTGTGGGGACCCACAAAGCCCGCGCCATGCCGAGGTCTAACTGCACTTTTCTGCTGCTCTGCAAGGCAGACGGCACGGTGGACAGACAGCGAGCAGTGCTGCTCCCAGCACCTTCTAGCCACACCATCTCCGATCCTCAGCTTGCCCGCCTGCAGAAGATAGTAAATAGTTCCCACTCCACAGAAGCTTTAGGGTTCAATAAAATGATGTGGAAGACAAAGTGCGCAGTGGCTGCACATTGTGCTGTTCTACATTCTGACTTCCCATCCTCTTTTTCACTACAGAACATTTGTACAAAACACAAGGCTTGTTCTGTAGCACTCAAAGTTTACACAAAAAAGAAGAGAAGCAGGAAATACAGATAAAAGTAGAAGCAAAAATAAAAGAGATGAATTTCTTTCTTTCAAATGAATTATGCTAAAAGGTATTTTATAAAATAACTTGTTTGGTATCGAAACAGAATGGAAACTAATTTCTATTTCAACTGGAGTTGGAAAGAAACTTGAAAATGCCTAAATTTCCACTGTGGAAGGAATGCTGACCACCCAGGGTGTAAAAAAATACTTCCACCTAGTATGGAAGTAAAGCAAAAGGCATGGGAGAAAAAGACGCATGATAGAGGGAAATATGGGCTGGTTTCTCAGCTGCCCACCACAGCCTGGGCAGAAGGGAAGGCACCGTTTTTACACTGACCAGCCTGTGACACGGAATGCTGATCAGGTACTGCAGAAGCTCAGATATGTAAAGAACATTTTTGTTCAACAGGTATTTACTGAACACTTAATCTGTGCTAGGTAGTATGACAGGTACACATTTTTATCAGACAGATTTCTGTACCATTCAGCAGAGGTACAGATACGTGGGCATAAGTCAGATTTGAAACTGGGATCCTTGCTTCTACACCAAGGTATTAGATGAAAACAGCCTTCTAAACCAGGATAAAATGTGAAAAAGAGGAAAGTAACAAAAGCCTATTGCTCTGACACAGGTCTACAGAGATCTTTACTGTTGGTGCTGCCTTCGTCCTTTGTCTTTCAGGACACCACACTCCTCCACTTCTCATTCTGTTCTGTTGTCATTCTTTTCCACTCTTTCTTGGTGACTTCTCTTCCTCACCTCAAAATACTGGGCTGCATCAGGGCTCTGGCTTCAATCTCTTCTCTTCTCTATCTACAACAACTTCCTACCAATCTTTACCCAGAATTCTGATTTAAACACTACCTACACAAAAATCTAATCCATATGCTACCAAATTTGTATCTTTCTGTCCACTCTCCCTAGATCGCAGTTCATAGATCTTTCCATGTGGAAGTCTAACAGACGTCTCAAACTAATAGCTCCAAAACAGAACTCTTGTCCTCTGCCCCTCACCTCCTGCCTGGCCCACTCCTCATTCAGTCTTTCTCATACCAGAAAATGACATCACCATTCATCCAAGAGCTCCACCAAAACCCTCTCACTGGCACTTCAGATCTTGCTTTTACTATTTCCTTCTCCTATTTCATGCACCCACCACACCTGGCCTGTCAGCACACACTGCCTTCCACAGAGTCTATCTCCAAAGCACAAGCTCCGCCCAGGCTCTCATCACACCCTCACCCCACAGCTGGGCCCCCTCCCCCGCACGGCGAGGTGTGAGCTGGCCCTTCTCTTTGCTCTCTTATAACCCAGTCTTAACGCAGAAGCCAGAATGATTTTTTTTTTTTTTCGGAATATCGATCCTATCACATCACACTACTGTTCAAAATGCTTCAGTGACTACTCATAATTTTTATGGCACAGTCCAAATTTTGTTCCTAGGCCCATAAGGCCATACACTATCATCATCTTTCTTCCCCACTTTACTACAAGAACGTGAGTTATCTTGTTGTTTTCAAAATCACAGAGCCTTTTCCCACTGTAGATCTTTTACATTTGCTTTTCCCTCTGCCAATAACACTTGTCCCACAGACCTAAAAGCACAGATTCAGGTCTGTGTTCAAATGTCACCTGCTCAGAGACCCCTGATGGAAAAGAGCAGAGAACTGCAGATCCTGACTCAGATTCTCTCCCCTTGCCCTTGTTTTATTCTTCTCCTAAAACTTCTCATTACCTACATTTCTATTAGATATTTGCCTTTTTACTTATTAACTGTCTTTTCTACCAGACTGTAAGCTCTGTGTGGACAAGACATCATCTCGCCTGTTTAATGACCTGCTCTCAGCGTCTTACACGGTGCAGGACACAGCACTCACTCAATCAGCGTTGCTGGATGAAATGGAAGAACGCTTTCTAAAGGGCGCTGTCTACGTTTCCGGGACAGCAGCTAAGCAGTTTAAATGTTTTGATGATCCCCATTTAAGCAAACATATTACCAGGACTATTCTGGATTCATTATGTTGAAAACAGTTATATCTGCTACTTTGTTGCCAGTATTGTAATACTCTTTCCATATAAGACAACTTAGAGAGTGTCTTTCTCAAGCCTTTTCTTATGCTGCTAGCTACTAGTTATCACACCTACACCTTATACCTTGCTGACTAATGAATTTTGTTAGGTGCATATTTTGCTTATACCATTATGTTCTACCACCCCTAAGATAAACATTAGATGAAGAGGATTTCATCCCGTGAGACAGCCCTAAGGAACAAATTTCCAGGAATATGCTGATTTTCTGACCCTGTGCCTTTGGCTTTCCCCTAACTGGTAAGTGTGGTGGCCTTAGGACAGTTTGACACCAGGGCAGAAGAACATCACAGCACTTCCTCTAGAAGATGCAAGTACTTTCCATCCCCTAGGTTCCCATTCCTGTGTGAAGAGCAGGAAGAGACACACCTACCCGAGGTGGTTCTGCACAACCTTCAAGAAAACACACACATACACACTCTTTCCTGCTCTTCTCTGGCCAACCCTAACCTGGAGAAGTTATTACACTGGCTGCTCCTTTTCCTGCTAGAAAACTGGCCTCAATGTACTGTATTCTCTTAAATGTTTTAATACTACATTTTCCAAACTGCAGTCAATCTCAGATTACGTTAATAGCTTTTGTCATACCTGAGAACTACCCCCACAACAGGTCTGCAAACTATGCCGACTGCCTGTTTCTGTACTGTCCATGAGCTAAGAGGGGTTTTGACATTTTTAAGAGGTTGAAAAATCAAAAGAATATTCTATGACAAGTGAAAATCGCATGAAATTCAAGTCTCAGTGTCTATAAAGTGTTTCAGCAATAATTTTTCTGAAACACACCCTAGCTCTTTCATTTACATACTGTTTATGGTCTCCTTTGCACTACAGTGGCAGAGTTGAGTATTTGCAACAGAGAAAGCAAGGTCTCAAACATTTACTATCTGTTCTTTGCAGAAAAAGTTAGTCTACTCCTGATCTTAGGAGAATATTTTTTTTAAAATTGATTCACCTGTTTTATATAAAAATTTTTAAAAGAAAACTTAAGAAAGCTATAACCACTCCAACTAGAAGGAAACCTTAAAAATAACTGCAACAACCACAATGAGATACCACTTCACACCCATTAGGATGGTTATCATAAAAACAAACAAAAAAATAAATAAGAAGTATTGGCAAGAATGTAGATAAGTTGGAACCCTTGTGCACTACTAGTGAGAATGAAAAATGGTATAGCTCTTATGGAAAACAGTATGACAGCTCCTTAAAAAATTAAAAATAGAATTGTCCTATGATCCAGCATTATACTTCTGAGTACATACCAAAAAGAACTAAAAGCAGGGACCCAAAAATATATTTGTAAATGCATGTTCGTAGCAGCATTATTTACAATAGCCAAAAGGTAGAAGCTAGTCAAATGTCCATCAACAGATGAACAGATAAACAAAATATAGTATATACACACAAATGAAATATTATTCAGCCTTTAAAATGATGGAAATTCTAGCACATGCCACAACATGGATGAACCTTGGCATTATACCAAATAAAATAAGTCAATCAAAAAGGAACAAATACTGCATGATTACACTTATAGGAAGTACCTAGAATAGTCGAATTCATAGAGACAGAAAGTAGAATGGTTGTTGCCAGGGGCAGGGAAGAGAGGGAAATGGGAGTTTATTATTTAATGAGTACTGAGTTTCATTTTTACAATATAGAACAAATTATGGAGCTGGATGGTGGTAATGTGTTGCACAACAATGTAAATGCACTTAATATCTCTAAATTTTACACTTAAAAATGGTTAAAAATGGAATCAGAAAAGAGCCCAAATAGCCAAAGCAACCTTGAGCAAAAGGAACAAATCTGGAGGCATCACTTTACAAGACTTTAAGCTATGCAACAAGGCTACAGTAACCAAAACATCATAGTATTGGCACAAAAATAAAGACATAGACCAATGTCTTTAGAAGAGAGAACCCAGGTATAAAAGCATCCATTACCATCTGATCTTTGACAAAGTAGACAGGAATATACACTAGGGAAAATAATCCCTATTCAATAAATGATGCTGGGAAAATTGGATAGCCACATGCAGAAGATTGAAACAAGATCTGCACCTCTCACCTTTCATGAAAATTAATTCAAGATAGATAAGGGACTTAAATCTAAGACATGAAACCATAAGAATTCTAGAAGAAAATTTGGGAAAAACTCATTTGGATATCAGCCTTAGGCAAAGAATTTACGAAAAATACTGCAAGGGCAATCACAGCAACAATATAAATAAATAAATGGAACTTAATTAAATTAAAAAGCTTCTGCACAGCCAGGGAAACAATCAATAGAGCAAACAGACAACCTACAGAATGGGAGAAAATATTTGCATGCTATATATCCAATAAAGGGCTGATAACCAAAATCCACAAAGAACTCAAGCAGATCAGCAAGAAAAAAAAGTAAAACAATTCCATAAAAAAGTGGACAAAAGACATGAACAGAAGCTTTTCAAAAGAAGTTAGACTAATGGCCTACAAAAATGTATGAAAAAATGCTGAACATCACTAATCATCAGAGAAGTGCAAATTAAAACCACAATGAGATATCACCTAGCCCCAGTGAGAATGGCTTTTATCAAAAAGTCCCAAAACAATACATGCTGGCGTGGATATGAAGAGATAGGAACACCTATACACTGTTAGTGAGACTACAAACTAGCGCAACCTCAATGGAAAATAGTATGGCGATTCTTCAAAGAACAAAAAGTAGACCTACCATTTGATCCAGCAATTCTACTACTGGGTTATTACCCAAAGGAAAAAACATCATTTTATCAAAAAGACACTTGTACTATAATATTTACTATAGCACAATTCATAATTGCAAAGATGAGGAATCAACCCAAGTGCCTATCAAGTAATGAGTGGATTAATAAAATGTGGTATATGTACACCATGGAATACTACTCAGCCATAATTGAATTAATACCTTTTGCAACAATCTGGATGTAACTGGAAACCATCTTCCTAAGTGAATTATTGTAAGAAAAGAAAAACAAACACCACATGTACCTACTATTAAATAGGAACTAACCAATCAGCATTCATGTACACAGACAGAAGTAAAATTCAACGGAAATCATGCAGGTGGGAGGTGGGAGGAGGGGATGGGTAAAGTCATGTCTAACGGGTATAATGTACACTATCTGGGTGATGGGCACACTTATAACTTTGACTCAAGCAGTACAAAAGCAATTGATGTAATCAAAACATTTATACCCCCATAGTATTCTGAAATGAAAAAAAGAGAGAGAGAAAATGGTAAAAATGGTAAATTTTGTTATGTGTATATTTAACCACAATTAAGAAAATTTTAAAACTGTAATAAAAATAAAATAATGTTAATTAATAACAAGCTAGATATTCTTATATACCTAAGACTTGGTTTTTCTATGTTAAAAAAGGAGACAAGCAATTCTTAGAGAAGCCTTGAAGATTAACACGGAACCTAGACTCTGCATCTGATGAGATGCCAATTAAGTGAAAAGGGACTTTCCTACTATTTGTGATTCAACTTTCTCTAGCATCATGTCTTCCTATTCAACCATACTTGAAGACATATGCATTCCAATAAAAGTCCCACAGTTTAGGTGACAGTAACCAGAAGTAACCCCCAGTGATGTGTCACACTTCAGGAACTATAACCCTCACGTCCTTGCTCAAAGTTCATGTCTCAATTCGCACAGGACAGCTGTGAGGAGCGTGAGAGCAGCTTGGCGGGACCACAGTCCCTCACATGATGGCATCTGATTTAAAAACGTCATTTCACAGCCTTGGACTTTGGTATTAAATGTATTTGAGCAAAGGACAATTTATGAGATTGGCCCTCCTGAAGTTAATTTTGAGAAATCCTTAAAAAAATCATATTTATAGGAGGAGGAGAATAGGAAAAGGAGGAGAGAAAGAAAGAGATCACAGAAAACCTCACCATTTTTTCAGGAAAGTATATATGTTTTATGGAGCTAAATAAAAGGAAACAAGTAAATAAAAGAAAACCCATGATATGTGTCAAATTTAATAAAGCACTAGTGGTATTTGACAACATCAATACTCTAAAAGTTTTAAAAGAATTAGAAAAAATCCTTATAGGATATAAATTAGAAATTCAGTTATAAGGTATGGCTTTTTACATAAAATTGTTTTTTCAAAGGATCAAAGGCTTTATGAAATCTTAAATTACAACTTAATAAGAAATACCCACTAAATAATTATTTCTAATAAATAAAGACTATCCTGGTGTTCCTTACGTTGTCCACAGTAAGCTCCAATGTATCCCTTCTGGCACTGGCAGTGGTCCTCTGCACAGGTCCCACCATTCATGCATCTCACACTGCACTGCTGAACTGCAAAGAGCAACAACAAAAACTATAAAATGATGACCCAAATTATAGTGTGTGTTGAGAGTTATAAAACTATAAACTAAATATCCATAGTATGGTCAAGGGCACCTCCCAGGTAATCAGACAAGGAAAAGAGGTTCAGGTAAGCAGTTGAAGACACATGCTGATCAGGATGACCAAGAAAGTCTCCATGAATTTGAATGATGAGTTTTAAAAAGCTGGGGAAATGGCAGATTATAGTTAAAGAAAGTAAAACTAGAGTTTTCATCAGGAGTTTTGAAAGAAGATAATGACATTTGTTATATGAATCTTGAATCTTACTCGTGAGTCAGAGAGACTCTGTATCATGTTTGTTTAGGGAAACAGGGAAATTCTGTAGAAAGAAATGTTTAAAATGTAAGAATCACAGGAGTCTGAGGCAGATTTAAAGCAGTTATTTAATTATTGAGTAATGAAACAATATCTGCTTCTTCCTTGTTATAATGTTATCTTAAACACCGGCCTAAAAGATTAATCTTGAGTCTTAAAAACCCAACAATTTCTAACTGGGTCATGAATAACAGAATCTTAGTCTATTGTTATAGTTATCTTAAAGAGTTGTTGGGAATTAATATGTGTAAAGCAAAACTGGATAATATGTGTAAAGCATCTAGTCCATACTCAATAAATATCTGATGTCTTCCCAATCCTCCTCCCTTAGATAACCCACAAAACAGGACATGGGCTGCATGGTTAAGCAAAGGCGATAAATATAGCCTAATGCTTGAGACTCCAGACTTAGGTATCAGAACACTGAATTCAAGTCTATGTTTCCTTGGACACTTAACTTATGTGTGCCTCACTTTCTTACTCTGTAAAATGAAGTTGTAACAGTATCTCATAATATCAATGTGAGAATTAACTAAAGTAATATGGTCAAACACTTAAAATAGCACCTGGAACATAGTAAAACCTAGTTAAGTTATAGCTATTATTCAAAAAGAATTTCTTCTCCACTAAATCCTGGCTATTCTAATGCATAAAAATATACCTTCTGGACCAGGATTAAGGCATTTTTTATTACTGAAAAAAATTACCCATTTGAGGCAACAACTAAGCCACTAAGTAAACAACTTAGCCAAGTAAGTAAAGATTTTTACTCCAAATATTAACACGGACCTAGTTTGTAAGGAAAATAATCATAGATTTATATCCTCATTGAAAAGGACATTTAGAATTTACTCAAAACCTTAAGGAAAATGAAGCAAAGAAGACCACATACAAGAAACATACTTGATTTTGATCCACAGGTTGGTGATATCTGGCCACTGGAACAAGTACACATGTTAGGACGTGAGCAAAACCCATCTCCACAACTATTTCTGCAAATTGCTGTAGAAAACACAATATGAAAGCAAATGAATAATTATATAATAAACCATAGTTTATTTACAAAACAAGAAAGCTATATTTAAAACAATAAAACCAAGATATAAAATATGTGATGTAAAAATGACTAACTTCAGGCTGGGTGCAGTGTCTCATGCCTGTAATCCTAGAACTTTGGGAGGCTGAGGCAGGAGGATCACTTGAGGCTAGCAGTTTGAGACCAGTTTTAACAACAAAGTGAGACCCTCTTCTCTACCAAAAATGGAAAAATTAGCTGGACATGGTGGTGAGCACCTATAGCCCAAGCTACTTGGAGGCTGAGGCAGGAGAATCACTTGAGCCCAGGAGTTGGCAGTTGCAGTAAGCTATGATGATGCTACTGCACTCTAGCCTGGGCAAGAGAGTAAGACTCTGTCTCAAAAAACAAACAAACAAACAAACAAAAAACCCAAATAAGAATAAAATAAAATCTCTAACATCAGATACACAATGAAATTACCCATGGCTGACATGGGAATGAGTCTTATAAGTATCCTTATGATAATGTGCAAACAAACGAACCTATTTCAAATTCCATAATCCTAATTCTTTAACCATCTTATCAATACAGGTTGTCTCTTCCATTCAAGACTGAGATTTTAAATGCAGAATTCACCAAGAGAAGACAGTCTTGATCTTAGGGAGCTGGGAGAGGTGAAGAAACCTAAAGAAAACACAGCCCACAGGGCAAAGGACCCTCAAAGGGAAAGAAAATATGAAACGGACTCAGGCAAAGACCCCAGGCCCGAATGACTTGGCCAACCTGCAGGGGTTCTGTGCGCATTCCTGCCCGACTGGCATCTGACCTGCCCCATCATCAATCTCTGTCCCCTCAATAATTCCCTGTGTCCTTCCTGCAGCCTTTCTTCCCCCATAGTATCTCTACAACCTAGCTTATTCCTGCTGCTCAGACATTTTGATAGGGGTAGAGTCAAAGCTTCCCACAGCTGTGACCTCCAATGAACACAAAGGTATGAGGGTCATTACAGCAAAGAATGCTTGGCTCACTGACACAGCACATACCATAGACACTTCAAACCTGTAGCCAAGTGCCTTCAAATGGGAAGTTCCTCCCATATGTAGACTCAGTTCATTTAGGAGCTGAGTGATTTATCTCTATTGCCCACAACTGAATTCTCTCTTTGAGCCCAAAGGCCGTGTGCATTCCTGCTCCATGGCTGGATGTATAAAGACAAGAACAGAGTCCATGAACACCTTGAATCTGGCTACTAACACTCATGCCAATGTGCACATGTACCCTTTGCTAAGGAGGAGTCCCACAAGTTTCACAAAGATCCAGGACCCCTAATAATGGAAAGAAAATTTTCCACAGAAGCCAACTAACTTGATGATTGTTTTCCTTCTCCAAATGGCCTTTTGACCTCCATGTACATGGCCAGCATCTCCATCAGAACTCCTTATAAATGAAAACAGTGCCATGGATCATGGTGTCACTCGTTTGAGGCAAGAATACGGTTCCCTACATGCAGGCAGTTATTACTTCTTAAATGTACTAGAGTTTTTGATCACCGATAACTTCTCAGTGATGAATTTTCATTAAAATATTATTTTATTTCAAAGCCCCCTCCACTCCAGCAGGTAGATATTTAGACTAGGCTTAGGTAAGACACAAAGCACCCCCACCCACATCCTAAATTCAGTGAAGGTTTGATGGGCTGGAGATTGGGCACTCCCAAACAGGTACCAGTCATGGCTACAGGTCTGTACTGTGTAACTCTGAGCCAGTGAGAAACAAATGTTTAGGCCCTTTCACCCCACACCTCCCTCAGACTATAGTACACCTCAGCTGAGTATCTGCCCCTCCCACAATCATTAACTAAGATCATAAGCCCAGAAATACAAAAGGGAAAGGGAGAGAAGACCTAGGTGCTGGGCCTCAGTGATGCTGGGAGAAGTCTCATGGCCATGTGAACGGTACATGGTGCCCAAGAGGGCTGAGGTGGCATTCTCACTCTGCCACTGATCTGCTGGGTGTTCTGGAAAACCACACCGCTTGTGTGTTCAGCTTTCTCACTGGCAGCATAATATAAATGGACTGTGTTGGAATGTTCTCATGTCTCTTCAGATCTCAAATGCTGTAAATCCAAGCCCATCCCATCCCACCGCTATTCCACTGGTAAAAATGCTGTTCCCAGCATCTCACAATAAATAATAAGAAAACTTTTTCATTGTTTCATATTCTAGGAAAATTTTTAAAAATGCAAAGTAACAAAGTTAATTCCATCCTTTTGGAAACAAATATTTGGAACTTTGGGAGTACTTCAGCGATCTTTTCAGGCTACAACTAAGAACAATAACAAAAAAAACATACAGACTCAAATCAAAACGCATTAGATTTCCAGCACTGTGAGAAATACATTTTCCTTTTAGTATCTTTTCCTCATGAAACCTGGTCAAAGCCAAACAGATTATAATTCTAAAAGTTGACCATTCTTATATCTTTCTACATAGAATGCTGAAGTATAAATGTATGAAAAAATTAATCTTTGGTCCTCTTTTTTTATTTGTGTTTTACTACTTCTTTGTAAACTGCCTCAGAGTTTTTCATCTGATAAATGGTGAGATATAGATAAATTCAAAAAATATATTAATAGGTTTCTTAATTCATTATCAGGAAATCCTGGAATTAAAATTCTTGGTTTTGCACTTATGACGGTTTTAGTTTGCTTATTTCCTCCATATATCATCATTTTCAATATCAAAATAATTGAACAAAATTGAATGCAGTCTGTTAAACTTAGGTGAGATTCATGCAATAGAATACATTCTCCCTCTATTTTGTACCCTGTATTATATTCTCAGGTATTTGAATTTTTAATGTGCTAATAATAAATAGTTTTGTAGATACCTGTTGACATAAGTGTTGTAAATGTTTCTCAGAGATACAAGGATCATTTCAGTTTATACTTTTTTTATGGATTTCTGACACATGTAATTTACAAGGTATCTCATAAGCACCCAAATATTTCAAGTAGTAGAAATGCAGGCTACTAAAGTCACTGTTATCCTGAGATTTTTAAAGCTGACCTTCTAAACAAGTAAAGGGCACAATGTTACTCAAAGACCAAAAGTATCTAAAGCTAACACTCAGTGGGCAATGCATATACTTCTATTGCAAATAGTATGGAAGGCTCTGCTCTCTGGAATTCCCATTCCACACTGATCCAATAAAATCTGACTTTACAGATTTTCAACACATACCATAAACCAATCCCTTCTCCTCGGCTGCTCTCCAACTCAATAATGGCAGTCACATTCATTACATTTAGTGAGTCAGACTTTCCGCAGAGCCTAAGTCACTCCCAGCTAGTATGGCAGGTGTGTGGTGAGTGACGTTAGCTGTTTAAGGATTCTAGAAAACCATGTAAGTTTAAAGCAGCCACAATAATGGACAATGCCCTACTGGCCTGAAAGAGTGAATGAACCCTCTATAAATGCCACGCATATGACTTCTATGTTGGAAAGAAAACAATGCAATACTCTCTCCTTTTTCACTTATAAAAAAATAAAAGGAAAGCCTTATAATCAGAGAGTTTATTTAAAATATTTATGAATCACTTTAAAGAACATAGTTGTTTCCTATTTTTGCTTCATCACTGGAGATTGTGGGATTTTAGGGTAGAAAACATTAGGAAGAAGAAACTAGTCTTTCCTACACTTGAGATTTCATTCCTTTTTAAAAACTGCCCAGCATAACATTAAGGGTCCGTCTTAAACCCACAAAACCAATAAATATAGAGTCAGAGATGCCACTACATCCTTATTATCCCTTAGATAGTGTGTCTTGCCCTTTTTCTCTGTTCTCAGTTGCATAGTTATTTTTTTCCCTGGAGAACATGGAGGTTAATCTAAAGTCAGAACTAGCTCTAAATGAATGTATGTCCATGATACCTGGCTCTCCTCCCAGCAAGACAAACCTGACTGTGCTATATGAGCACCCAGGGGAAACCAAGTCACACTTCAAGTCACAAATTCACAGGCATGTTAAAGAAGACATCCCAGATTCCATGACTTTGAGGGTGATAACTAATCAGCTCTCCAAATAACTTGGAGAGATGGATATACACTTTGGAAACTGAATAAAATAACTAAAACTTTCAAGGTCAAATATGCAGAGCTTTTCAAGTTCTAATATTCAGATTTTTTAAATCTACTGTACACTATGAAATTTGGGATCTGGAAACCCTAAATTTAAATGTCTTCCAAAACGGGGGGAAAAAAGTCAAGCCACCTAGAAGAGTCCTCTCCTTTAAAAATTTTGTTAACTTCGGCCAACTCTAAATTCGTGAGAGCACTTCTTTCATATGTAGGTTATGTGGCTGCTGAGATGAAACCAGAGATAATAAAGTGGTTTTGTATAAACTAAGAAAGCTTGATCTTCATTAGGCTTAAACTTCAGGCAGAGTCAAAAGCCAGATTCTTTACCTAATAATTTTGTGGTCTTATCTGGACTTTTTAAGGGAAGAGTCGGTTTGAGTTATCTAGGGAATTGCTTTACCCCCTGTTCAGTTTGTATGGATAGACACAGAAAGATAAAACTTCCAAGTCTCTTTGGAGCCTTAATTATCACTGCCCTCAAAGAGTGTGCACGCGGGTTTACGCGGGCGCACGCCGGCTGCTTCTGCCCCGCCCTTCGCCTGCGGCTGTGTCCCGGTTACCACTGCAGTGTGGCTGTGGCCCCTTGACTTCAAATGCAACTGTGTCCCAACGGCTGAGTGGGAGAGGTCGGCATGCGGCGGGCCCAGCCTGCCCGCGCTGCCGTCCCAGCCGAGCACTCACGGACAATGCACTGGTTTCCTCCGGGCAGCGTCTTCCATCCCGGGCAGCAGTAGGAGTGGAATCTGGAGCCGCACACGTTGGGCCTGCGGTGGACAAGCGCGGTCACACACTCGTAGGGACAGGGCGCAGCGACACACAGGCGAGCGGGAGGGTCGCCAGACAAGCACGAGCCAAAACTACCCTTCAAGTTCCTGGGCTCGGCGGGGGAGGGGTCGAGGTAAAGGGTTAGGGTCGGGAACGTGCACGCATTCCCTTTCCTCTGTCCTCCCTCGCCTGAGAAAAGCGACGTGGGAACATATAATTTGCTATTATTCTAGCCTCCAGATGCAGACAACAAAGAGAACATTCCGTCCCGAAAACCCTCGCCTCCTTCCCCATGCATCCCTCCTCGACCAAGGTTCTCTGGCCCGACGTGGCCAGGGAGGCGCGCGGCGCCGGACGGCGAGCTGGAACCCGCACTCGTCCGCAAACAAAAGGCTCGGGACGGCGCCCCGCGGCGCGGCCCCAGGCCTCTGCCCACGCCCGCCCGCCCGCCCGCCCGAGGGAGCTCTCCGCCGCCCGCCGCGGGGCCGGGGAGGCAGGGCGCGTCCCGGGCTTCGCGCCTCCCGGCCGAGGGCTGCAGATTCAGCGCCAGCACCCGGGGCGGGGCGGGCACGGGATGCGAAGCGGCCACGCCGAGGCCGCAGCCCACCTACCCTCGGAGCACGTCCTGCTGTCCTCGCCTGCGGACGCGGCTGGCCGCGGCCCCGTCCTCCCGGTACTCGGGCGCCGCGAAGCCGCCTTCGGAGCCCGCCGCGGCGGGCCGGACCTGTTGCGGCGGCTGCGGCCGGGGAGGCTTGGGCGGCGGGGGCTGGGGCTGGCCGGCCGAGCCCTGCGCCCAGAGCGCCACGCAGCCCAGCCACACGAAGTAGGGCCGGAGACACAGCCGCCGCCGTCTCCCCATCGCCGGCGCCGGGAGCGCGCGGCCCCAGACCCGCGGAGGGCGACGGAAGACGGACCCGCGCGGCGCGGGACGCCGGCTCTACCGAGCCCTCGCTGCCCGCGGGCTGCGGCGCTCGGGCTCCCCGCGCTGGCGGGCTCCGCGCCGGGGCCCTGGCCGCGCGGGCGCGGGACGCGGGGCGCGGGCTCTAGCGCGGGGGCGGCGAGGAGCGCCAGGGGCAGCCGGCAGCTCCGCGCGGTCCACGTCGCCTCCCCGGGCGACGGCCCGAGCGACTCGGGGACGGCCAGCGGGCGGGGGCGGGAATTACAAAAGTAACCCGAGCAGCCCCGGCGTAAAGTTACAAAGAACGTGCACCTCAAAAGAAAAGGGCCCGCACGCAGCTGCTTGCGGATTCCCGTGCGCTCGGGGCGCGGGTCTGGGAGCGCTGCAGAAGTCACCAGAAAGAAGCAAGCAAGCAAACAAAAGTCCCCACAGAAGAGGCGGCTCTCCTCCGCACTCGCTCCGAGCCCCGCGGGCAGGGACGCGGCCAGCGGCTGCGGGGCGGGCGGAGGTGCGCGGGGCCGAGGCCAGCGGGCGGCGAGGCGCAGGCGGGAGGCTGGACGCGGGGAGGGCGCGGCGCGGGGCTTTAGAGGCCCGGCGGGGCGGGGCGGCGCGGCGGCGGCTGTCAGTGGGGGCCGGGGCGCAGCCGTCCACACGTGGGGCGCAGCCGGGACGCGGGGCCGGCTCAGAGTGGGCGGGGACAGAGTAAGGGGGCGACCGAGTGGAAAGGAAGGGGGGCCCGAGGGTTGGGGGAGGGGAAGAGGAAGGAAGGGGGGCAGGGCGAAGGGAGGGGAGAGGACGGAGACTGGGGAGAAGGGGGGCGAGCCCGAGAGGAAGGCCGGGCTGGAAGAGGGACTTGGAAAGAGGGATTGGCGAGCCCGGGTGCGAGAGGAAATGAGCGGGGGATGGGGCGAGGTTAGGGCGAGGAGAGGAGTGGGAAGGGGGAGGCCGCGGCCGCGGGGGGAGGGGGCCGGGCCGGCTGGAGGGGCGAGGCGCGGGGCGGCGTTGCTTCCCGTCCCGCTCGGTTGGCCGCTGGCTCTGTTTTGACTGCCTGTACAAAGCGGCAGACGGCGGAGGAGGGGGCGGTTAGGGACCGGATTTGGGAGGGGAGGCAGCCGCCCCTGCCCCTCCCCCTCCGCCCTGGCCGAGCCCCGGACCAGGGACTGGGGCCTCTAAACGCCAGGCGCTGGACGGCAGCGCGCCTCCCCCGCCAGCATGGAGACGAGAGGGCCCTCCTGCTGGGGCTGGGACCCGACCCGGGGTGGGCCGGTCGCAGCTAGCTGGGAACACAGGCTCCGGGAGTTGACTGCAGCCTGAGTCCCCATCGCTGTCCTACCCCACTGCCCCACCGGGACTGGCGTCAGCCTGCAGGCCGCAGAGGGGCCGGGCGTTTCCAGCTGGAAACGCGCCCTCGGCCGCCCAGAGGGAGCTCACGCGACCGCAGGGGGCGCGGGCAGTGGCCGGCGCCCAGTCCCGGGCCCGCCGCGCGCGGGGTGTGCTCCGAAGTGACCGACCCCTGGCAGGACTCTGCCTGGATTTGCATCCAAGCAGAGATTAGAGACCCAGGACTGCCTTGGGGGTTGGGTGGCGCCCAGTGGGTATGTGGGGCTTGGAGAATAACCTGGGTTCCTGGCTTAGACCCTCTACTCATTAATGATTAAACCTTAGCAACTGGTGCAACCCTCTGTACCTTTAGAGTGCCTCTGCGCCCGCCAGCTCTGGGGCCTTCCTTTGTTTCACAGTTTTCATGAGATCTCTGTGCAGCCCTGGTCACTTCTCATTCAGTGAAATTTCATGATTAAAAAATCAAACAGCTCTGAAAACCAGGGATGACCATCCAAGCACAGTTTGGAAAACGGTCCAAGAGAACAGCGTTTGGATTATTTAGGCCTGGAAAGCCTTACTTTAAAGGGGGAAAAAAGATATATATTTATATATATATAATTTTCTTTTCTTGACTCAAAATTGCCCAGATGTGCTACTTGACAGCCTAAATTCTCCAAGAATTGGCACAACTCTCTCCTGTAGTTCCCCACTGTAGTCAAAGTGTCTAAAGGTAGTACCCCTTATGTAGAAGTTACATAATTTCGTAACACCAATTTGTTAAATCCAAAGAAATTAGAGCAATAGAGTATTTTCCATGCACTCTTCTTCAAACAAATGACATCATTTTAACTAGAAGAGCTAAATAAAGCAACTATCTCCTAAGTTAAAGCAATGTTTTAATCAAACCATTTAAAACGTCCTGTAGATGGTTTTCACTTAACATTTAGATGGCTTGGTGGTTCATTCTTGTTTAGCACATTAAAACTAAATGCTCTAAAATTGCATATACCTTTACCCTTGACCCAGCAATTCCACTTTTAGTAATCTATATAAAAGATACATAGGCCAAAAAATGAAAAGATGGATACATCAGGCTATTCATTAAAACATTGTTTAATAGCAATAGACTAGAAACACAAACATCCCATCAATAAGGAACTGGTTGTATATGGTTTAATCCATTCAGTGGAATATTACACAGCTGTATAACAGGAATGAGGAGGAACTCTGTATACTCCTATAGAGCAATCTCTAGCATATACAGTTCAGTTTTTTTTTAAAAAAAGCAAAACAGAAACAAGATGCAGATAGAATAACCTGTCTATCATTGACACAGACAGGAGAATAAACGTTACCAGAGGCTCAGGGAACACAGAAATGGTGAGTTATTGTTTAATGAGTACTGAGTTTCTCTTTAGGATGATGAAAATGTTCTGGAAATAGTGGTAATAGTTGCACAACATTGTGAATGTACTTAATGCCCCTGAATTGCACACTTAAAATGGTAAATTTTATGTTATGAATATTTTTTACAATATTTTTAACTGCACCGTGTAAGATATTGTTTGCCACCTTTGAGGGGCTGTTGTGTATTTTTTAAAAAATAGAAGTATAAAACAAATCTAATAAAAAGTGGTTATCTATAGGGAAAGGAGAGAATATGGAAGAGGAGACAATAATGGAAGCTAAACCTTTCTAAATATATTAGTTTTATAGTTCTCACTTTGAAACCATGTATATACATTATATAATTTTTAAAAATTAAATTTAAGAAGAGCAATGCTAACAATCAAAAATAAACTAAAACAAATGAATCTGTCCCATTAGTGGCGTAACCACACAGAGAACAATTACTCAAAATAATGTTTAAACACAAGATTTAGACGGCAGGTGTACCTTTAGTGTGTTATAACCAAAAAAAAAGGGAAACACAAATCTGAAATTGAATTCAGTGGTAGGGGAGTGTGTGTGTGTGTGTGAGAGAGAGAGAAAGCACAAATATGAATCTATATTGTTATTGAAAATCATGATTTCAGCATAAGAAATTAAATATAAAACAAAAGGTAAAAACCTTGTAATGTTCAATTGAATTAAAATGTCAATATGAAATCATGTCTTTTTATCTTTCTAAAAATGTGTGCATTTCCCAGTTTGATCCACTGTAAAGACCTAGAAGTAGTGACAACCCAACAGCAATAAACACCCATTGCGAACAGACTGTGATTTCTAGGTGCCATTTCTCAGTAAAAGGAAACAGTCTTCTTAGGTAAGTGGCTGATTCCTGGACTGGGGAAGGCAATGTATAAGGTTCATCTTGACTATATATCTTGTCATGACTAAAAGGAAAGAAATTATAAGACACATTTGGGTCACATTAATAGGAAACTTGAGCTAACTTGAAAGAGATCCCACTAGATAAAGCTGGGAAAACTTGAACACGAAAAAGAAAAATTGAATGCAAAGGATTGAAATATATGAAATGTGTAAATATTCAAGAGTTCTATATGATACTCTAAACACAAATTAGTTGGCCACTTTTGGAGATTGTTAAGGCACACCTCATTAATTCAAAAACATTGATAAATAAAATAATCAGACAATTATTCTGCCTTTGCTGGACAGACTCAGAGAAAGTATTTCTTTAAAAAAAAACACAGTTGTAAATGCAGGAATCATAGAATTAGAAAAATCACAAATTTGTAAACACTAATGAAATAATGGATCTAGGCAGCAGTTATCAATGACTGCTAAAACCCTTAAGTCAGAGGTTCTCACCTGGTGGCCATTTTCTCCCAGGGGATATTCGGCAATATCTAGAGACATTTTTGATTGTCGCAAGACAATGTGTGGGGGTGGTTGTGAGAATATGCTGCTAAACATTCTGTTAATATAAGGCACAGGACAGTTCTTTATAACAGAGTCCAAAATATCAGTTTCTTTGAGAAGCCCTGCATCATGTGAAAAGTCAATGAGTCAAGCTGTTACCACCAGAACCTACTGATTATTAACTTCTGAAAACAAGACATTATATTTCTTTTTATGTGGTACAATAGGAGGTACAAGGACCACCTATGAAATATCATTGTCAAAAAGAATTAAACTTGAGTGCAGTGATACCTCTACATTTAACTTGGCAGTTTCCAGGATGGGAGATCATGAAACATTCAATAACACCTCGAGAATATAGATGACCAGATCTACAATGCGGGATGTGCCACAAGACCAAGTCTCTTCAAGCAAATGGCATGGATAGAGGAAAGAAAGGGGAACTGTTTGGTCCAACAACCAAAACAGAATGCTTGTACCTTATATGGAATTTTGATACCGATGTAAAAGTGTAAAATGACATTTTTTATGTAATCAGGAGGAAACTAAAAGCTGATTATTAGATATTAAGGATTTATTTTTATTTTGGGGGTATTACAATGGTATCATGGTTATTTATTTATTTATTTATTTATTACTTCAGCATACTATGGGGGCACAAATGTTTAGGCTACATATATCGCCTTTGCCCCACCAGAGTCAGAGCTTCAAACGGGTCCATCCCCTAGATGGTGCACACCTCACAGGCGAATATACTCATCCCCTCCACCGCCCTCCCATCTGCATGACACACAATGAGTGTTATCACTATA